ATATATATATATATATATATATATATATATAAAATAAAACATAAAAAGAAACCCTCAAAAACCAAGTTCTTATAAGAGAGAAAAAAAAAAGTGGATTTATTATAAAACACATATAAAGTTAGTTAAGAATCCAAATTAAGTTCTTTCTATAGAATAAAATATAAAGCAATTCTTAAATCTTACATAGACTCACAAAAAGTGCATTAAAAATCTAAAATGTTTTTTTTATTTTTTATCATTAAAGCATTTGTAATGGTAAAATTAGAACTATTAAAGTAAATTTCGGCCTGTGAGTCAATTCAACCTACCTTAAAAATGAGTTGGGTTAGGTCAATAAAATAAAAAAGAACTCTTAATTAGTTTAAAAGCTCACCTGATTCACTTTTAGCCCAGATCACCCAAGTTAAACCCATGGTGGGTCAGACTGGTCACCTAATCCACTTACATCCCCCATCAATCCAACCAACCAATGACTCACTTAATCATTTATTGTTATATATGTATTATTTTAATAAGTTACCATTTTTTTTGTAAAGGAAGATAAAATTGATGTTAAACAACATAAAATTGCTATAAATTTATTTACTCTCTCAAATGAAGTTTAATATTGATGAACAATTATTTCAATAGGAAGAATTTTTTATTTTTTTTGTTTTGATTATTTAAAGTTGTACACTTTTTTAATTAAGTTTAATGTTGTATACATGATATTTAATTTGACAATTTTTATTTTAGATTAGAGATTATTTTATATTAGAGTTTATTTTAAATTGAAATGTATTTTAAATTATATTTTATTTAAAAAAAAATAGGTACATTAGTGGGCCGACCCGTTTAACTTACCAACCGATGGTGGATTTGGCTAGATTTAAAAATTTTGAATATTAAAATTTGTGGGTCAATCTGAACCAACTTACTTAGAAAATGGGTTGAAGTGAAATAGGTCAAACGAGTCAAACTAACCTATTTTGACAATCCTAAATAAAACCTATTTTGAGTTCTTAATTAATCTATATTTTTTGAGTTTTAGAATATTATGTGAGATTTTAGAACTTTTTTTAATTTTTGTTCCAATAAAAAATTTAACTTGAATTCTTAATTTGTGTGTATTACATAATAGGTCCCACATTTTTATTTAAAATTATTTTATTATTTAAGAACCGATTCTTAAAAGCTTTTATATAAAAACGGTTCTTACACATGACATCCACCTCATTCTATTCTAATGATAAAGTTTGTATGAACTTGGAGATGGCTTTATAGATGCTAACTATTTTTGACAACTTCAACAATTATATTGCAGGCAGAGAATAAACAGTTGATATCTGTTATGGTGATCTCGGTGGTGATCCTAGGAACAGCTTCGGGCATTGGCGTGAAAGCAGCGTACGACCCTACAAGGAAATACGCAGGGTACCAAAAGAGGAACGTCATGAGCTTGAAGAACCACTCTGAGCTAAGGCTAGTGGCATGCGTACAAAAGCCATACCACACGAATGAGATCAAGAACGTGCTCCAGGTTTATTCTCCTATACCAGAGAACATACTAGTAGCGGATATTTTGCATCTCACAGAGCTAGTTGGAAGGTCCACACCCATTTTCATTGCACACAAACTTCAGCAGAAGCTAGGGTCTTCCTACAACTACTCTGGTGAACTCATTGTGGCCTTTGACCTATTCGAACGTGACTATGCTGGTTGCGCCACTGTCAACACCTACACAGCCATATCACCAGCGACACAAATGCATGAAGATGTTTGCTACCTTGCTTTGGACAAAAACGTATCACTCATCATTCTTCCATTTCATGTGAAATGGGGAGGGGATGGTTCCATAGAGTCAGAAGACATCAACATAAGGTCACTAAATTCCAAGGTTCTGGAAAAGGCACCATGCTCAGTTGGGATTCTAGTCAGCCGTGGCCTTTCTTGCTTCAAGTCAACGTTTTACAAAGTGGCCATGATTTTCTTGGGTGGACCTGATGATAGAGAAGCTTTGTGTTTGGCTAAGAGGTTTGCCAAAAACCTTGATAATACATTGTTTGTGTATAGATTGGAAGCAAATGATCGTAACATCACAGATTGGGAACACATGATTGATGATGAGGAGTTAAGGGAAGTGCGTGGAGCTTATGGTCAACTTGAAAATGTGACATATGTAGAGACAATCATAGATGATGCATCTCAAACAACGTGCATCATCAAAGATATAGCACGCAAGTTTGATTTTATTATAGTTGGGAGACGCTATGGGGTGAAAACTTCTCAGACTTTTGGGTTGGAAAATTGGACTGAATATTCGGAATTGGGAGTTATTGGTGATTTACTAGCTTCACAGGATACAGAGACTAAAGCTTCAATTTTGGTTGTTCAACAACAGTCAACAATGTCTGTTTCATCACAAAATTAGATACAATTAGTTGGGATAATCATTATAAAAACAGATTGATATATAAAAAGTACGGTCATTATAGGTACAATTAATTTACATATAGTTTACACACGATTTTAGTGTTGATTTTGCATGAGATTCAACAAGATATATAGTGTGTCATCATTGTTTGTACCTACATTTTTATCAATATTCCAATATATATTGTATCCATAGTATAGGTAAAATTAGCTTTTAGTGATAAGTATTGTGTCGCGATAGTGTATCACTACATGACAATTTTTTTTTATAATAAATTTTGTTTTGGAATTTTTTTTTTCTATTTTTTTTATTGTATTTTGAGGCTTACTTCTATTTTAGTTTGATCAAGTTCTAATGTTGTTTCTCACATTTTCTCCTTCATTTTCATCTACGAATATATTTGTAGGAAATATTGTGTTTCAATTATCCTATAGTGAGCTTGTCACTTTCTGTCAACGAGTTCATACATCCATATTAGCATAGTAAAAAATATTAGGTATATAATAAGGTTTTAAATTGCAGTAGGAATCTCCGTGCAGTGTTTGTGTTGATACTGGTCTCTTGCAATTCATATGGTCCACAATCATAGTGTAATGCAATTACGGAATTCATTACAACCAAGTATTTGTTTTGAATCAACTAGAACCAATTTCTCCTATATTGTAACACATTCTGAATTCTTAGTTAAATTATTGATTGTTATCAGTGGGAAAACTATAAAGAAAACTCACACATGAAAAGAGGAAGACGAGAGAGAGGGAGGAAGAGACTTATAACTCAAGTTACTAATTGATTTTACTCACGAATTGATGCAAAACTTGCAAGACATATAGTATGTCTTTTATGCGCAAATAAAGCTAATAAAATATTAATATCCTTAAAGCATAAGAAAAGAAATGGCAAAGGCAAGCTAGTTGTTTTAATTGAATCCAAAACTCGTAACACTAGTACAAAAGAGATGTACTACGTCGAATATTTTGAGCTTTTTACGTCAGAAAACATGCTAACGTAAAAGCGGGAGACGTAAATTTTACGTCGGATTTGCAAAACCGACGTAAATTTACGTCAGACATTACGACATCCGACGTAAAAAAGTAGGAAAAAAAAACATAAAAATCCCAGCAGAACGGCTCGTTCTGCTTGCAGAACAAGCCATTCAGCTTCGTATAACAACCCAAAAGAAAACGCTCACTACTTATACAAATAGAACAACCAAAAAATCAAATAAAACAGATAGTCAGAGTAGTAATGCGAAGTAGAAAAGTGCTAACGAAACCTTGATTCATACCTGAGAAGCAGCAACAATGTGCAAATGAGTAACAAAGAGTTCATCCCTCTGCAAAAGACAAAAAAACGATTCAGTAACAAAGGAGAGGGAGAGGATTTAGAGAGAAAAAAATGAAAAGTGATGAAGAGTGAATGCGCGCGGTGTGTCTCGCGCTCTCTTATTCAAATTTGCGTCCTTTTTTACGTCGGACCTGGTAGGGTCCGACGTAAAAAGTCCAATCTACGTTGGACGCAACACACCTCCGACGTAGATTGGACTTTTTACGTCGGACCCTACCAGGTCCGACGTAAAAAAGTTCGCAAAAATTATAAAAATGTCACCGCATTTTTTTACGTCGAATTTTCGTATTTCTGACGTCAAAGGGGTGACGTAATATGCAGATTTTCCACTAGTGTAATGCTTAATTCCTAAGAAAACATTGCGGGTGATGCTGCTATATGGTGCAGTAAATTTTGAATATAATTAATGACTAAGCATGCATTTTGGCATTTTCTTTGACTCGTAAAATAAATCAATATTCAATGACTTCATAAAAATATATGTAACTTGCTCTTGAGTTGGACAATAACTAATTTCAACTTCTTTATCTATTATCAATTCTCATATCTTGTGAAATTAAATATCAATGTGTTTAAACCATCTAAGGAAAAAATGAATTTTGCTCAATGAAATTGTAGAGTTGATGTTATAAAATATTTTTGTGGGAGTATTTTGCTTCTAGTGCATTACTCCTAAAATTCTTCTAGGTCATATTACTTAGCTACAACTAGTTGCTGCAATGTATTTAGCTTTAGTGATAAAAAGTGCAACAATCGATTATTTCTTTAAAGACCATGATATTGCACCATGTTTTCTCTATTGTGCTTTTCTTGTTTCAACATCTTTTTCCCAGACATTCTCTATGTACCAACAAGCTTCACACAATTATTACAAGTGTAAAAAATTTCATCGGTCAAAATACCTTTGATGCAACGAAAATTTCTCTTTACTCCTTGCAAGTGACAAGTATGTGGCTTTTCAATGAATATGCTAAACAACCTGACTCCAAATACTATATATGTCTAGTTGCATCCAAATATATCTTAGACTTCCTATTGGACTTTTGCATTAGGTTACATCCACCTTTTTGCCTTAACTTTCACTTGTTAGCTTTAATTTTTCTTCAACTAACATGGAAACTAGTTTCGAACTCTCGGTCTTCAATTTCTTCAAAATATCACCTCCATATTTCTTTTTGGGAGATGAAAGTTCCACCATCTTGTTGAATGACCTCAATGCTAAGAAAATAGAACATTAAGTCTTAAATTTTCATCTCAAAACAATTGATCGTAGTCTTCCTAAATACTACAATCATTTGTGGATTGTTGCTAGTAATGATTAGATCATCAACATAAAGGCACACAATAAGAATATCTCTTGGCCGAATCAATAAATTTAACATATAGAGTATGCTTAAAAGAATATCACCCAAAACCATGTTGTACAAAGTAAGAGTCAATTTTCTTATACCAAACTTTTGGTGCCTACTTCAATCCATACAAAACTTTCACTACAAGAAAATTTGAAATTACAGACGACCAAAATTCGTGGGTAATCCAAAAAATCCGTGGGTAACACTTCATTTCAAACGGATTACAGACGGATAATAATCCGTCGGTAAATTACTCGTCTTAAACATTTACCAATGGATTATAATCCGTGGGTAACTTTTTAACGGAATTACCCACGGATTTTATCCGTGGGTAATTATCCACGAATAAAATCTGTGGGTATTGTTGATAATATTTTAAAAAAATATTTTAAAATTATATTAAATAACATCCTTATTTAGTGCAACATCCCTCATATTTGAGGATACTTCACGTAACTCCTCGTTAGTCAGAACCCTTCACCAATCAGAACCCTTCATTAGTAACCCTTTTTGAGATATTCATCCGCTTTTAGGATCAAAGATTGACCCCACAAATCCCACAAATCAACACAAGACTTTTCATCGTGCCTTGTCGTTACTTGCACATTTTTCTGGAAAACTTCCTAGAAGGTCAACCATTCCTAAATTACTCCATGTCAAGCACGCAATTAACTGTGAAGTTCTTAAAGAATAAGCTACCAAAGTGTAGATGCATCTCATTGGTATAAATAATACAAATTAATTCTTTTAAGTCATCTTTAACTATACAATCTCATACTTGTACAATCTTCGAATCCCTTTCATTCCAGTACATTTCACAAATTAATTACAATATAATATAATACTATAATTTTTATCTAAATTAAAAAAATATTAATATTTTTGTTTCTGTATTTCACAAGTTACATTTTTATTATATATAATTAAAAATTTCGAATCCTTTCTTTTTTCTTTTATAGATAAAAACAAGGGATGAATCTTGCAGTTGTAGACCCCTAAAATTGTCCGGGTCGGAAATAAAGCTTGAAGACTCTCGAAGACTGAAGGAAGATCAGCCAGAAGGACTTCCAGAAGGCCCAAGGAGGGTTCTCTATAGGTCTAGAGGTCTTAGGATAGCTAAAATAAGAAAAGTGGGAGGAATACCTGATTTTAAAAGCCTAAATTTATAAAATTGATTCTTTTAAAATCGATCAAATAATTGATTTCACTAGTACAGAATATACATTATATTCTACGTCGGTTATTTTAGGGGTTTTACATCGAAAAAACCTCCAACGTGGAAGCGAGAGACGTAAATTTACGTCGATTGTGAAAAACTGACGTAAATTTATGATTTCACTAGTACAGAATATACATTATATTCTACGTCGGTTATTTTAGGGGTTTTACATCGAAAAAACCTCCAACGTGGAAGCGAGAGACGTAAATTTACGTCGATTGTGAAAAACTGACGTAAATTTATGTCGGACATAACAAGTCCGACGTAAAACATTGTAAAAAACTTTTAAAAAATAATAAAAAATGAATGCAAGCAGAACGGGCCGTTCTGGTTGGAGAACGGCCTGTTGTCCAAGCAGAACGGCCCGTTCTACAACCTGGACTTGGCTTTTCTTCTGGCTTTTCCTCCTCCTTATTTTCCTCTGCTGGTTTTTCCTCTGGCTTCTCTTCTCTGTTCTCCTCAGGCTTGGCTTCAGCCACTGGTTGTTCCTACTCAAAATATAAAAAGGAACACACATAATAAGTACAAGATCTAATTAATGTAGACCAAGTTATAACACTATCAGCAAGAAAAAAAGTTTCACTAGGAAATCACAATGTCAACAGAAAGGTTATATCACCTGTTATGCTTCCTCACCCATTTTCCGTATGAATGGAGACTGAAATGTCAGAAAAATTATAAGGAAGGAAGGAGTAGGAGGCGGAGGGATTTCTCGCGTGTGGCCTCCATTACACAACGCACGGGAGAAGGAAGTTTTTGAAATCTCCAAATCTCCAGCTAGTGACCTTCTTTTAAGGGGCGGTCATGTGGATTATTTACGTCGGTCCTAGTAGGGTCCGACGTAAATAATTTAACAACAATTACGAAACATGCCACCACGTTTTTATTACGTCGAGTATTTATATGTCCGACGTAAAATAGGTGACGTGGTATTTTGAATATTTTCATTGCATAGTTGAGACATTCCTTTTGAGCCATTTTGAGTTCTACCTTCTAAAACTTCATTATGATATTTATACCATATTGATTTTGAGTCACCTTCTCAAAATCATTCTGAATCAATCTTGAGTTTGCTTTAATTGATGTTCTAAATACACTAAGCAAACTCAACAGTAGAATAAATACTTAGAAGACTCATGACTTGTGTTCATAAGGTTTGTCATAATTTAAATATAAAGGGTTAGATTTTTCAAAACTACACAAACTACACAAAAATCGAAATCATACATAACCCTAATCCCCAATATATTCATACACATCCTCTAACTTCAATTCATCATCCAATCAATCAATTAGAT